ATCTAAATAGGACAGGGAACATATCTAAATAGGACAGGGAACATATCTAAATAGGACAGGGAACATATCTAAATAGGACAGGGAACATATCTAAATAGGACAGGGAACATATCTAAATAGGACAGGGAACATATCTAAATAGGACAGGGAACATATCTAAATAGGATGGGGAACATATCTAAATAGGACAGGGAACATATCTAAATAGGACAGGAAACATATCTAAATAGGACAGGGAACATATCTAAATAGGACGGGGAACATATCTAAATAGGATGGGGAACATATCTAAATAGGACAGGGAACATATCTAAATAGGACAGAAAACATATCTAAATAGGACAGGGAACATATCTAAAAAGGACACAGAACATATCTAAATAGGACACAGAACATATCTAAATAGGATGGGGAACATATCTAAATAGGACAGGGAACATATCTAAATAGGACAGGGAACACCATTAAGTTCCTATGTAGATATTATTTTAATTTTGTGAAATGTGCACAAACTGTCATAAATATACCTACGGAACCAGTCGATAAGTATCCAACTCAGTAACCAGGCAAGATCAAAACCTTTCCATTTTTTATTTGATGCTCAACACCATTCGGCTATCGTTTTTATTTGATGCTCAACACCATTCGGCTACCTATATTATTATCCGAATGGTGTTGAGCACCAATTGATCATGAACATGACAAGGTTTTGAGCTTGACTGATTACTGAGCTGTATACTAAAATATTGCTGGATTCCGTATAGGTTTATAAATTAACTTTCTGAGTGTTTGTACACATTTCACAAAATTAACAACCTAAGGCATGCTTTCAACTACAATTGAATGTTTCCCTGTCTAATTTAGATATATTTGTTCCCTGGTAAAATTGTCTTTTCCAGCAGTACCCGGTGGAAAAGCTGAGCATGCATGTACATGTGTATGGAGTAAAAATGTGCAGAGGACTGACTCTAGAATTTATAATAATGTTAATAATAATTTGAGGTTCTTGTATACCACTTTATCACAACCTAGTTCGAATTCATAGGTTGTCTCAAAACGGTTCACAAATTATTATCCGTGGGAGCATACACCCGGAGCTGCCATTTTGGCGCTAACAGCTAGCATTCAACAACTCTAGCACTGCCCAACCACGTACTCATTCACAGCTGAGTAGACTGGAACAAGCAGAATAATGTATCTTGCTCAAAGATACATTACAGTGCCGCGCCATGACTCGAACCCGCAACCCTTCGGTCACAAACACGGCGTCCTACCACTAGACTACAGTGCCTCCAACGATTAAATCTTCCTATAGAGATACATAAGTAACATTTAACACGGGTCTTGTATGGAGGTCAACTATTAAACCAGGAGATTGTATTTGTACACCATGTTACCTGTGTTTACACCTCCAGGATAATATTTGTGTTATTGATTCAGGTCCGTTACTAATTGCAAGTCATGGTATAGTGTGAATCTATCAATAGTAAAATCATTAGCTTTACTTCTATTTACACTAGGCATCGTGTAACCAATGACTTTGACGTCATTACTGCAGTAACAAATCCACAACTTGATTATTATCATAGATCAGTCAATAATTTTAAAAAAACTGACAGAAGTGTCCACTTACATTACCGTACATTGTACCTGTCAACAGGGTGTTAAACCTTATATTGACCACAAATTTCTGAAATCAAAATTTAGCTAGCAATAATGTATAAGCTAATGAAGAAATGAAAACGATCCTGGAATTTTAATGAAGTTCGTAGAATATCAGTTTTTTCTCTCGCTATTTTTAGAACTTCTAACAGAATTATTCGGAAAATGTGATTTTTTTGTATAAAGAACATGTATGTTCATGTTCTAGGTATCATAAAAAAGATTAAAACATATCCTTATTTATAAAGGATATTTCATGTTTTTATTTTTAGGAATCATGTTGCAGTTCATTTGAATGCAAGATGAGAATTAAAAGAGTAAATAAATAAAGAAAAGGGATTTAAAATATTTGGGGAAAATTTGCACTTTTTTCCATTGGGAATAGGGCTAAAAAATATCCCCGAAAACATCTGTACATATTATATACTTGAAAAAAGAAATGATGAGCAACAACACCCACTGAATCCGGTACAAAATGTAAAGTTTGATTTACATCCGACGTGCTGATCACATCACATGTTTCGGCCAATTGTAATAGAAAGAATATGATTGAATTGTCAGAACTGTTGTAAATAAAATATTAGTCAATAAGCATGTGATCAGTTCTAAAATATTAGATTAGGATAAACCCCGAAGAAGAAAAGGTCCTCGCATTAGAGAGTTCTGTCGTGTAATCCTGTGGTATCGGTGATAAGAATATGAAGTCGTATCTATAGAGAGTTGGTACAGTAAGTATGTACAAGTTGTGTTCTGAGGCTGGCAACAATATGTTGTGTGACGTCCATACTGCAAGGTGTTGAATACATTCTCAAGGTTTATAATCATCAGTTCATACATCATATACTTGTTTGTTATGAATATTTGACAAAATGTCGTTTTTATGAATCAATAATCTGTTGTTAATTCAATACATGTACTACAACATAAGGCACTCACAATTTCATTTTCAGGACAATATGTATACCGGTGTACCTGGGAAATCATTTCCGTAAAAACATTTTCACATTTATCACAAATGCTTCGACTTCAACAAATCGATGTTCATGTGCTTTCAACAAGCTGCAGTCCCATAACACAATTGTCTGATGAAATAAAAAGAAAAAAAATATTTGTTAACAAATTTCAAAGAAGAAAGTTTCTTTGGATAAATAATCAATTTGCCAAACTGAAACTCTTAGTGCATGCTTTTACTGGTCAATATACTGCACCTTTAGTCTAGGACATGTCAATATATTTATAACTGTACACATTTTATTTTAAGGGAATTTGATCAGTTTCTGGACTGGTTAATATATGTATAAAAGTAATTATAACAGTAAACATTTCTAATTAATTTATCTGTTTTCTCTTCGTTAATTTGTATGGTGATCAAAGTGATGAAACTAATTAGTTACTTGGAAGCCATAAAAAGGGGGTGAAGACACAACGTCCTTGATAACTGAAGTTTCTTCAATTTCCTGGTCGATAGTACCGTGGATATATACCTCCAATTATGACAGTCATTTATTTATTTATCTCCATGTTTAATTAGCATACATGACTATTTCATAACTGTTAATCCATCGGTCTAACTTATACCCTTGTTTTCGCGTACATACTTTACAGTTAATTCCGCCAATGTAATTACTTGCGTATATGCGTATCCTGTCATCAATTTAGTTACTCACACACGTATCGATGACGTCACAATACCATTGTTATTGTGATGACGACTCGCCTCTGAGTCAAAACATGTAAATGTTGCTGCAATAAATTCCGACGTTTGGAAGAGATTTGCCGTGTTGTTCGCACTTATTCCTGGATAGTTACACTGGGAAGGTTTAAATAGAGACAGATGAGGATTTAACTTTTTTCATCCCCGCTTGTCTGAGCTTCATTTTTTAACCGTTAAATACAATATAATAATTTTCAGTCCGCCATTAATGTTCTGAACATAGAAATTATGCAATTGGTTATACACACAGAAGTAAAAAATAGCATTATAATTATTAGGTCACCTAGCAAAACGGACCATGTGAGCCTGTCCTGATGTGGTAGGCTGCTCTGTCACAGTGAGACTGGCATCGACTTTTAACATTTAAAACAACTTTCGAAATAACCAAGAGGCCTGGTACATGTGCATTGAAGATATATATATTTGGCCAGTATTATAAGCATGCTCAAGGATGGAGGGCCCACAATCATGTAATGCCCTTGAATTTTTTCAAGGTTACAGGGGTTAAATTTTTCAAAACTCACGTGAAGCAATTTCTTCTGAATAACCAAGAAGCTGTAAGGGCGATGATATTTAGCTAATAGCATGCTGGGATAAAGAGCTTTCAAATTTGTTTAAAAATGACTTACCACAACTCTTCTGAATGATTAGACACTGAGGCCCTGAATGAATATATTTTACCAGAATCATACTGGGATGAAGGACTATCAAGTTTGTTCAAATTAAAGACCTTGACCTACTTTCAGCTAACAGGGAATATATTTGTTCAAGCATTTTATTGAATTATTTTGAATTTAACCGAGGGGCCTATTGGTTGATCAGGTGTTGTTTGTAAGTGTGCTGTGATAAAGGACTTTCAATTAGTTGATAAGTTATATCAAGGTTGCTGGGTTCAAATTTATTAAAACCCTTTAAAAGTTCTTCAAAATTAGCCTGAGGTCTTGGGTTGATGATATTTTCCTTGAGAAGCAATACAGGGATAAAGGACCATCAAGTTTGTTACACTCATTCACACTCTCTGCACCCCAGTGGAATATGTCATAGGAAAATTGAAGGCTCCGTGTGCACCACAGTTTCCAGGATGAGACAAGGACACTATAGTTTGTAATTGATCCTTTGATGTAAACATTTAAAATGAATTGCGTTGAAGTCTGTTGATGTTTCTCTCTAATCTTCAAAGGTCCGTTATCAGTCTAGCGATTGGTCAGGTTTTTTAACCTGAGACCAATCAAATAGCTAGTGGCATGCTTTCAATTTTGCTATGACATATTCCAGGGATGCAGAGAAAATGAACATAACCCCTGGAATATCAATGCAAGGATGTCAAATCCTTTAAGCAACTTCTTCTGAATAACCAATAAGGATTGGGTTTCATATATATATGTCCCGTAGCTTTATAGTGTAAAACCTTTGAACAAATTAATGAAAATCTTCCAACAAAAATTCTGAATGTATACAGTACCTAATAAAATCTGTCAACATGCATTTATTCCATAATAAGATGTAATGAAGATTTAAATATATTTGACATTGAAACTCTTTAAAGGTCATGGAATCGTGCACTGCTCTACAGATACTATTAAATTGTCTGATGTAATCAATTTGGTGTTGTTATTTTTTTCAGGATAAGAATAAACAACAAGGACCACTAAATTCTATAGCAAACTTTTTCCAAAATTTGGGCCCAAGTCGAAGAGGTAAACATCGAAGAGATTTGTCACCGACAGATAGTCAAGGTTCTTCTTCTAGCCTGTTAGAAAATAATTCTGGAAGCAAGACCGAGCTACCTCCAATAGACAGTCAAGGTCACCTGACCACCACACCTTCTAGTCGTCCGGTGTCTTACCGGTCAGATAAAAGTGGCAGCTCTTCTCTGCTCAGTCCGGGACGGTCACACCGCGCTCCGTCTGGAACCTCCACAATTACACTGACCAGTAGTATCCACAACACCAGCAAAAGTCGTCTCAGTCCTAATCCAATCCAGGGAAAGGTCGCCTACCCTGTCAGGACCAAGACAATAGAACAGATAAGGTAAGTCAGAAAGTCCCTCCCCCTTCCCTCTACGCTTCCCTCTCCCCTTCCCTCTCCTCTTCCTTCTCCCCTTCCCTCTACCATTCCTTTTCCCTCTCCCCTTCCCTCTACTCTTCCCTCTACCCTTCCCTCTACCTTTCCCTCTTCCCTCCACCCTTCCCTCTCCCCTTTCCCTCTTCCCTCCACCCTTCCCTCTCCCCTCTACCTTTCCCTCTCCCCTTCCCTCTCCCCTTTCCCTCTCCCCTCTACCTTTCCCTCTCCCCTTTCCCTCTCCCCTCCACCCTTCCCTCTCCCCTCCCCTCTACCCTTCCCTCTCCCTCTCCCCTCCACCATTCCCTCTATCCTTCCCTCTCCCCTTACACCCTTTCCTCTCCCCTCCCCACTACCCTTCCCTCTACCTTTCCCTCTACCTTACCCTCTCCCCTCCACCCTTCCCTATCCCCTCCCGTCTACCCTTCCAAAAACAAACAAAGTCACACTATGCATTCAGGAATCTTTCAGACATTCAGACAGTAAGTATTCATGAAACCGTTCTCATGCTCAAGCATGGATTCTGTGCTCAAACCAGGTTTTCTGTCACTCACTTAAATCATGGGACATGGTCAAAAGGTCAAGTGGTAATGATGGCATTGGTATTTAGGATGAAGTCTCTCCGTAATTCTTCAAAATCATGAACAAAATATGATTATTTATTAATGTATAACTCGAACAAGAAAATGGGCTTGAGCACAGAATATGACTTTGAGCATGAATGAGAATAGTTTCATGAATACAGCCCCAGGTCAAGGTTACTGGGTCACTCCATCAAAGTCAAGACAAATAGATTTTGTTAACAAAAGCTTGTATTAATTGCTCTGTTGCATCCCTGTCCAGATCAAAATCATCCTTTCAGCATAATGTGCAAGGACTAATTGGAACTGCTTGACGTTTTATCCTTCAATAAGCCCATGGACCCAACACAATGTACATGTAACTTGGGATGATAATATATGCATAGGGATGGACTTATATGTATAGTAAGACAATGAAGAAGCTTGTTTGTCTCCTGCCATGGAGTAGTGGAAACAAGACTAGGGTGTTGCTTTTCCGGCAACGGCGTCAGCGTCAACATTGCGTTTTTGCGTTTAAGTTAGTTTCACTAACGTATAAGTACTAGACCAATCAAGCTTGGACCATAGATGCATCTTATGTAGTACATCTTAACCCATGCATCAAATGCTGGATGCAGCCTACATTTCATGGTCCATTGACTTTGTCAGCATCTCCATCAACATTAAGTTTTTGCGTTTAATTTAGTCTCTCGGACATGTGCATTGATGGTCATGCAAAGCGGGGCAATTTAAAGGCGAGACATAGCAATCCGAATGGCTTGTTTACTGATCTGTAATGGATATGGGTGGGCATATTAACAGACGTGGGCTTATTGCTTGGTAAATACGGTAGGTGTTAATCACCGGTAATGTTGAAGTAATAGTTAATTATCACCCCATGTATGTATAGTTTTACTGTCAAACCGTAAACAATTCTTTGTTGATTTTTCAGAGAGGATGTGAAGTACGCCAAAGAGACAGGAAACTGGAAAGTGGTGCAGGAATTTTATTCAACGACATTTAATTGTTTTTTGGAGATTAATGCTGTATTCAAGGTTAGTACGGTTTAATATCTGCAAAAAATAAAAATATAAAACATCTTTTTATTTGATTAATTTTATTTAACAATTCTTAAAATAGACCAAAATACAATATAAATGACCATCCCCTTTTTAGAAGATTTTGATTGGTTGTTAGCTGTCAGAACCTCCTCATCAGCGTCTCTTTGAAAAAATATGCAAACGAGGTCTGTTGCATTGTTGCATGTACAACAGTCAATCTTTCTTGCATATATACTGCAAGAGCATGTCCAATTACTTTCTAAACGTGGATGGAAAGATTATTTATCTCTTTCACTTTGCTTATAAAAATGTCGACACTGATTATTTCAAACCTTTACAAACGGTTTTTCACAACATCGTCAAGTTTGCTTATAATTACATGATATAAACATGTTCTTGTGAAACCTTCATTTTGTTTCCATCAGCAAATCTCATCAGCTTTATCAGATAAACATGAAAGTATGCAGTTCATATGTAGCCGCCTTGTAGCCGCCTTGTCTCCCCCCCCCCCCCCCATTTTTTACGAGTTAATTATTGGAGTTATAATTATCGCATATCTGACATGAATCAACATTTATATTTGATCTTCATAGAACACATTTAAGCATCGATACTGTCCTAACTGACATAAATAAAATCATCATGTGTTATATGTTATATAGTTACATACTTTCTTCTTCAAACACATTCAAAGTCAATTTAAAAAGAGCTGAAGGATATATGGCAAATGTACGTCTACAGATCTAAAAGGGTAAAGGAGTCATGCATGGGTATCAGGTGTTCTTACATTATTGTAATACATGTACCAGGACAATTTCTTTTTTAAAATAATGAAGGAAATTGAGTTTAGGGATGAAGGAATGCAGTTTCGCCTCTTATTTGCTTGCCACAAGTCTGGAGAGTATCAAAAGCACCTTCAGTCTACAGTATCGATAATTGGTGGGTGAAGTGTTTCTGTTAGCCTGTTATAGAGTTTTAATGATCACCGCTAAGATTGTATAGCTACTATTGATTGTCTGTGCTAATATTAGACCCGTATAAATCCACGGATAAGTCCGGTAATTATAACCAATCAAAATTAGCAAATATCTTACGTATCTTGGACACTAATGCAAATAACTCTCAGTTTTAGAAAAAACAAATAGTTGTTTAATTCAATTAATAAAAGAAATAGCATTAATACGTTTTGTTTTAAATGTCAAATCTAATCACTTTTCCAAATGTTTCTATTTTCATATTTCAGTTTAAGTTTTAAAAGTTTCAGAACATTGATGGAAGGAATTGTTTGTTCATTTACGTTATTTTTTTGTCCTTTCAATATCTCGAAGAAACATTACTAATACATTCGTATATAACTAGATTCTCTGGTAAAACCTCTATTCCGTCTTTGCGTATTGCAGAGTTATCTTTTCTAGGGAGCAGGGATTGATTGTTACGTCACTTGTTTGTGAGAGTAACGTCATCAATTTTTGAGAAAACGACGTAATTTTCTCACACAAACCAATGACGTAACAATCAATACCTGCTCCCAAGAGAAGATAACTCTGCAATACGCAAACACGGAAAAGTGGTCCAAGTTTGGAATATATTCAAAGCTTATTGGAAAATGTCTGTGGAGTGATTGTGTGTATGCAGAAAACGAATTGGCAAATGTATTTCATTAAGAAAATGGAATATACAATACGTATTACATTATCAAGTGAGTCTGTAAACTCAACAATTCCTCGTTGTTACCATGGTAACATCAGCTTATTGTCAATATTATCTTCTAATCTTCTAGCACACACAATATCTCACTATACACCATCTCATGTTGATCTTCTAGCATACACAATCTCTCACTGCACACCATGTCATGTTGATTGTCTAGTCTACACCATCTCTCACTACACACCATGTGATGTTGATCTTCTAGCATACACCATATCTCACTACACACCATGTCATGTTGATTGTCTAGTATACCCCATCTCTCACTGCACACCATGTCATGTTGATCTTCTAGCATACACCATCTCTCACTACACACCATGTCATGTTGATTGTCTAGTATACACCATCTCTCACTGCACACCATGTCATGTTGATCTTCTAGCATACACAATCTCTCACTGCACACCATGTCATGTTGATTGTCTAGCATACACAATCTCTCACTACACACCTTGTCATGTTAATTGTCAAGCATACACCATCTCTCACTACACACCATGTGATGTTGATCTTCTAGCATACACCATCTCTCACTGCACACCATGTCATGTTGATTATCTAGCATACACCATCTCTCACTACACACACACCATCTCTCACTACACACCATGTGATGTTGATCTTATATCATACACCATCTCTTACTACACACCATGTGATGTTGATCTTCTAGCATACACCATCTCTCACTGCACACCATGTCATGTTGATTGTTTAGCATACACCATCTCTCACTGCACACCATGTCATGTTAATCTTATAGCATACACCATCTCTTCCAGCACACCATGTCATGTTGATCTTCTGGCATACACCATCTCTCACTACACACCATGTGATGTTGATCTTCTAGCATGCACCATCTCTCACTGCACACCATGTCATGTCTATTTTCTAGCATACACCATCTCTCACTTCACACCATGTCATGTTAATCTTATAGTATACACCATCTCTTCCAGCACACCATGCCATGTTGATCTTCTGGCATACACCATCTCTCACTCCACACCATGTGATGTTGATCTTGTAGCATACACCATCTCTCACTGCACTCCATGTCATGTTTATTTTCTAGCGTACACCATCTCTCACTACACACCATGTCATGTTGATTGTCTAGCATACACCATCTCTTCCAGCACACCATGCCATGTTGATCTTCTGGCATACACCATCTCTCACTCCACACCATGTGATGTTGATCTTGTAGCATACACCATCTCTCACTGCACACCATGTCATGTTGATCTTATAGCATACATCATCTCTCACTACACACCATGTGATGTTGATCTTCTAGCATACACCATCTCTCACTGCACACCATGTCATGTTTATTTTCTAGCATACACCATCTCTCACTACACATGTGATGTTATTTTAATTTTTTGAATCTTAGTCCGCAGTTAGACTAACCGTTATATTATAGCCCAACTTACATTTTTATGGTATATATTGAACATTTTTAATTGCTCTGACATCTACTAACCTCTGGCATTAGGTTAAGTGGAATTGTACACCCCTGTAATACTTAAAATTTTAAAAGTTAGTCCATAATATGTTGCTTTTTTTCCCTTATGTATTTGACATGTAGTTTTGCAAGAATAAATATTGACAAATTAGTGTCAACAAACGATATTGACTACTGACCTAAAATCCAATAAACTAGGTTTGGCGTGTGAAACGTTATAGTTGACTGTTTAAACATTGTGACATTCAATAAGGCAAGTAACATGCGAGGTATCTTCTGCTTTATGTTGTATGTAATCAATGATACCTTATATACATGTAATACAATATGGTATATTGATCATCAGCCTCCGGACCCGGACTCTTTGTGGGGTGGATGTACCTGGCGGACTTAATAAATAGATCGATATAAAGTAGAATGATCGGATCAATAAGCATGTAAGGCCCTATACCCTTATGTATCTGGATACGGATCCTTGCTCTGGAACACAGTAACTATTAAATGTAAGGTCGGGTTATTGTGTAATACAAGCTATTAGGGAACACTAAGTGTGATATTTAATCGCAACAATCTCGGGATAGGTACATGTAGGTGTATTTATTTGTTTGCGTCTACGGGTTTCGCCCGAACAGCTTGCTGCGATTGAATATTACACTTAGTTTTCCCCTAACCCATAATCCCCCCTGCATACTGGGTACAGTATCCAAGCAAGGGATAACGGAACACACAGAACCTCAACCTCAGCTATTAGGGAAAGTCTTTAGTCTCTAACATGTGAAATGGATTCATTTATTAAGTATCAAAATGAAAAGAAAAATTAAAAAAAAGAAATTTGATAATGTTTGATCCCTGAATACCATTGCCAAAAAACTGTATACATTATAAGAAACATTTGATATAAAATATCTTTAGTTTAATATTTACATTTCTGCTGAATTTGGATTCCTGGTTATACTAAAGAGCATTATTGAAAAAAAATCTTTCCAGTTAGCATATGAATACCTTGTGTGTCAGCATATTGAATTGTGGAAAGTAGTCTTATTTATAGATTTTTTTCAATTTAAGTTTTCAAAATTTTCAGGTTGAAATAATCATGTATATTACATGTTAAAAGGTTGGTTGGTTGGCGTGGGGGATAACAGTCACTCGCCTTTCACCAAGGCGGCGGGGGTATGATTTGATGATCGATTGCATGATTGGTTGATAATTTTATAGAACTGAATACCCAAATAAAGCTACTATTACATCAATAGACAGAGTTGTTCGCTATACATTAGGTTTAGTTCTTGTGTAGCACTATGAAGTCGGCATTAGATCTGCACTATCACAGGGAGGCAAGTACACAAACATACCCTGTCTCCGGCACACATATACAATACACATACACAACCACATACACAACACACATACACACATACACAACACACATATACAACACATACACAACACACATATACAACACACATACACAACACACATATACAACACACATACACACAGTGCACACATACACAACACACATGGAGGCACATCCTTAAATGACCTGGGCCCATGCACTTGTATAAAACATCTCAAAGTTAAGGAAAATCTCAAGCAATGTACTGTCTATGGGAAATCTTAGACTTGAGGAAATCTCAAGAGTTGAGATGTTTTATACAAGTGGGCCCTTAGGTGTTAATAATAAGACCAAATCAAAACAAAATTCTTTATAATGAATGGATATCAATAAACTTTTATGTATTTTTATCAATCATATATCATAAATCATAAGAATATATGGCTTTCAATGCATACTTTACATGGAAGACATTTAAATACTTTATAATGTTGGACTGATTATATCAATTAGGGAATTTGTAATCGACAATTTGAATAGGAAATGGTGTACTGATCAATTTTCGATTATAATCGATCATCAGCCCATCACTGCGAAACAGTAATATGCAGACTCTATTGATAAACAGTATTGATTATTAATATGCATTGATATGCATTAAAAGGCATAATGCCCCTGCAAAAACCCTGAAATACAAATGTGATGTGTTTTATTGGGTCGTTGCAGTCATGTTCATAGATATCATAAAACGAAAATACCTGTTTTAGTGAATAATTGGTGGTTGCCTATGTGAAGCGATTTACTGGGTTTACTGGGGTGTAGAACCTAACTGGTTGAACACTGCGACAGGCGACAACTTCTTCTGAATAACCAAGAGGCCTAGGGTGTTGATATTTGGCCAGTAACATGCTGGGATGAAGGGCTACCAAGTTTGTTCAAATAAATGACCTTGACTTATATTCAAGGTCACAGGGGTCAAATATGTTTTTAACCTTTAAACAACTTCTTCTGAATAACCAAGAGGCCTAAGGTGATGATAGTTGGCCAGTAAAATGCTGAAATGAAGGGCTACCAAGTTTGTTCAAATAAATGACCTTGAGTTATATTCAAGGTCACAGGGGTCAAATATGTTTTTAACCTTTAAACAACTTCTTCTGAATAACCAAGAGGCCTAGAGTGATAATATTTAGCCAGTAACATGCTGAAATAAAGGGCTACCAAGTTTGTTCAAATAATTGACCTTGACTTATATTCAAGGTCACAGGGGTTAAATATGTTAAAAACTTTAAACAACTTCTTCTCAATAACCAAAATGCCCAGGGTGATGATATTTAGTCAGTAGCATACTAGGATCAAGGGCTACCAAGTTTGTTTAAATATATGACCTTGAATCATATTCAAGGTCACTAGGGTCAAATATGTTAAAAACATTTAGACAACTTCTTCTGAATAACCAAGAGGCCTAGGGTGATAATATTTAGCCAGTAACATGCTGGGATAAAGGGCTACCAAGTTTGTTCAAACGAATGACCTTGAATCATATTCAAGGTCACAAGGAGCAAATATGTTCAAAATATTTAAACAACTTGTTTTGAATAACCAAAAGGCTGATCAGGATGTTGATATTTAGTCAGCAGCATGCTGGGATCAAGGACTAGTATGTTTGTTAAATTGAATGACTTTGACTTATATTCAAGGTCACAGGGGTCAAATTTGTTTAAAATCTTTAAACAACCTTTTCTGAATAACCATGGGTCCCAGGATGTTGATACTTTGCAAGTTGCATCCTGAGATGAAAGGCTATAAAATTTGTTCAACATAATGACTTTGTTCGACTTTCAATCACAGGGGTGAAATGTTTTAAAAGAAAATAACAGGGTCTTTTGAATGAATTTTAATCATAAATACTGATATTTTGCCTGTAGCTTTATTTTAGATCACTTTTAAGGTTACAAGTTTGAGATTTATACCAGGTGAGCGATGCAGGCCCAATTGGGCCTCTTGTTGTTTAAAGTGCCCTGAGTGCTTATTACGGTGAACACGGTAGTTGATTTTATACAGCTACTGCTTGATAATGACATGAAGGCTGACAAAAGATAAGGAATATTAAATAAATGTAAATATAACTTCTTTTATCCTTATAGCGAGACCCCAATAAGGAATACAAGACGCTAGAAGAATCTGGCCTCAAGTTAGAATTAGTCAACTTTGTCTATGACCTGTTGCCAAACCTGGTAAGTTTTTAAAGAGAAATGTTGCAGAACACTCGCATTCTATTGAATATATATTTGAATTAATAAAAAAATAAAGATTTTTCGTTTACCAGACTTTTTCTAAAAAAATATAACTGTCCTACGTTACTATGAAATTTAATTAGGTTTTAGTGAACCGAACATTTTCAAAGGATAAAAGTCAGATGAGATGAAAAGATTGGTCAAATGGGGGCAATAATACATGTTTTTTCCCCCCGTTTTTGATGAAATTGTATGATGTCTGTTTCAGCCCCAGGACATCCAGAAATGTGTTCTCAAGTCCATCATTAACAGCCTACTAAAGGACAAGAAGTAAGTTTTATACATTCAAATGACTTCCTGGTGTGGAATTTTTGTGTCATGGGATGCATTATAGTACGGTTTTGTAAAAACACAGACGTGACAATACTCTATGGCACTTGGCTGGTGTGTGTTTGTCATATTCTACAACCTTCCTACATTAATTCTCCCGTAAATTATGCATGATTACCGTTAGCCTAAAGCGTCTATTGTACAGCAGACGGTTGCAAATAAAGCCTAAAGCGTCTATTGTACAGCAGACGGTTGCAAATAACATATCAATCATGCAGAGATGTCGAATGCTTTTTCCAGAATGTTTATGAAAGATGTTGATTGACGCTGTCATTGTAAAAAATTACAGAAATTGCAAACCAAAAATATAACCACAGTCTGTCTGTACATTACATTAAAATGTTAACAGCAGCTGTTAGGCTTGAAGGAAACAAGAATAGGTGCTTAGAAATAAAATATTTATCCCTATACCACTCAGGAAAGAGTGGTATTGATTTCAGCGTATGGATACCATCGTTCAAGATATCCACAGTCGAACCTCGCTGTTTCAGCTATATCCTTTACGACACATCGGCCTTAGCTCATTAATTAATCTGGTCAGAAAAGACTCTATGTGGTAACGATTTCGGATGAACACAAGATTTACCTGTACAAGATAAGGCTTTCAGCTTATATTTTACCATACCGTCTTGTAAATAGAGGTGCATTGTATGATATATGTAAGCCCTGTCAATTTACTCCAAACCCTCAAAATGTTAATGTATCAGAATTTACGTTATTTACATTACAGTTGTCATTTCAATATTTCAATATTAAAATAAACAATAAATGTTTCTGTCATAATATCAATTTTAGAACCAAAAACTAAGTGTTAATTATTTAACCTAATAAACCATCACCCCTTATAAATATTCATAAGCGTCGCCTATCCTTGTTTCTGTCCTTAAACATCCCGTCCCTTCAACAAAGGGGAAATAGAGATAAACATTTAAAATCCTTCTTCCATCCTAATTTTGTTTGGAGCATCCTTGGGCCAAGGGGACTCATTTTTTTTTTATAATTTGTGGGTTTGTACCTCCTGGGGGCACAGTTGTGGGGCCCAATAGGGGAAATAGAGGTAAAAATCTTTTGAAATCCTTCTTCTACCATAGTGATTAAGAGAATTCATCCTAATTTGTTTTGGAGTATTCTTGGGCCAAGGGGACTCAATCTAGTATAAAGTGTGGATGTGGCCCCCCCCTGGGGGCACAGTTGTGGGGCCCAATAGGGGAAATAGAGGTAAAAATCTTTTGAAATTCTTCTTCTACCATAGTGAGTATGGGAATTCATCCTAATTTGTTTTGGAGCATTCTTGGGCCAAGGGGACTGATCAATCTAGCATAAGGAGTGGGTGTGGCCCCCCCTAAGGGTAGAGGGGTGGGGCCAAATAAGGGAAATAGAGGTAAACCTTTAAAATCCTTCTTCTACAAATATTGGTTTGGAGCATCCTTGGGCCAAGGGGACTCGGTTTTGTATAAAGGGTAGGAGTGGCCCAACTGGGGGTAGAGAGTTGCGTGACCCAAAAGGGAATTTCGGGGTTTTCATCTTTAAAATCTTTCTTCTCCATTGGAGGAATTGTATGTAATAAGAATAATTTCCCATGGTTGCTTTATGATCCATTTGAGCGATAGACTCGGAGTGCTTAATTACTAAATCAAATACTTTGTGTGTTTCCAATGCATTAATGGGGAAAAAAACAAACATATTATTTCTTTCCTTTAAAGGATTTGTGCAACGAAAAATAAAAATTCTGTATTATAAAAAAGTTGTGTTTTAAACCCTTATTAAAACGCCCAATCCCACACGCGTTGTCTGGTTACATTGAAGTGACACGACTATTGGGTCATACGAGTTGACCTCTCATTTATGCATATTTCGTGACCCGGAACGAGGCCACTCCCTTGTGACGTCATAATAGTCCGCGAAAAATCAAGCCGCCGCCATATTACACTGTTTGTTTACATATCGTATCAGCTGATCACAGTCTCCGAGTTAGCGTAAACAGGAAATCTTGTTGTGAAAGACAACGTAACTTTTTGAATGAAAGTTGGTGTGTACTTTTATTTGGTAAAATGGTGTTTTGTGCGGCTTTCGGTTGTTCTAATAGACTGAAGAAAGGAAGCGGAATTTCGTTCTTCAAATTCCCGAAGAATCCCGTGCAGAGATCGACATGGGAACATTACTGTCGAAGGTCCAGCTTCACAGCAACAAATCATCACACCTTATGCAGTGTGCATTTTTCAATGGACATGTTCCAGTACCACAATTCGAAATTCGAGAGTTTGGGATTGAACTTTGACGCATTGCCGGACATTCCACTGATGGAGAGAGAAAATACAGCTAATACAGACAGGTTTTCGTCACCAAAGACAGCCAGAGGTGCATACGCCAAACGCCAAAAAGCAGATGTAAGTCACAGATTTGTTGCTAACCTTAACCCATTTAAATTTTTAACAAGAATTATATAAATATAACAGCTAATTCACACACCCACGTTTTAAAAGACATCTGTCTTCATTTGTTCATCTTCAGAAGTTGTCAAAAAATGTCAGTGTTTTGAAGTATAAGTGTCAATTTGTGATTTCTTTGTTGGAATATCTGTATCAGTCCAAAAATGCAATGAGAACACTGCAATTATATACATGCTATTGGGAGAAAAAGAACATAATGTATATATTGCTATAGCATACGTGGTATGAAAAATGATAACAACAATGATAAATATATATGGTACTTTAAATATCTATTAAGGGAACAGGTTAAATAAAACTTTTCTAATACAAATGTTCAGTAGTCTGACATCCTGTTTACAACAACATGCATTTAAATTCAATGCTGTATCCTGTTTCTATTTTAACTACATAATTGGACCAGTGCTTACTTGCATCCTGTCAGATTAGACAGGTACTCTGACCAATATTTCATGTTTCATGTACATGTGTTGGTGGAATTGACAGTTTGTGGGCAGATAAGAAAGGTCAATTTCAAAAAAAAAATGTTTGTGTTCCACAGGATGTCAGACTATACAGGTTTCACTGACTGTATGATTGAAAATATCACAATTTCTTGTGTCACTAAAACAGGTTTTATTGTTTGCTTTACAGATTGTACCTTGCAGCCTTACACTATAATGAAAATAGTAAAAATAGGAGAGCAGTGACAAAAGATGGGCAGCAGAAATGGCAAATTTCCTATCCCAAGGCCAAGAAAGGAAAAGAAGTGGTTGTAAAACCATGCAAGACTCGACCAACATATGGTGAGTACCCAGGTAGTGTTATTTTTCGATGTAAAAGCTGAAGTATTTATCAGATGCAGAACTCTTTTGTAAGGGAAATTCTAGCTATTTTTTAAGAGTTGCTCAAGAATAACAGAGGTGTACAATTTGTATCAGTGGAGAAAATATTGGACAGATCTGAAAAAATATCAATGCTTTTTTATCGTTACATTACCATAAGCAAAAATAAGAAACAATGAAATATATCAAGCATTTTCATGTTAGAAATTACGACAGCTTTTAACAATAGGTAAAACAGTCAGTTCTATTCAAATGTCAATCAGGTTATTAAGTTTTGTTTTTTGCTATTAGGCTATGTGGCTCTCCTGCTCCAGGCTTGCATAGACAGGCGAATGGATCTGCAAAACTACACCACTGCCATTGTTGATGGAAGGGAAAGTTTTGGACAGATTCCTCCACCTCTTACAGACTCCTACCAGCATGTCAACAAGAGTGAATTAATTGAAAGACATAGGTCAAGGTTCATTGCCCGAAATGGTGTGAGTCCAGGGATCTCTGATGCCACATGTTCACCTATGGCCTGACATACTTAAAACCACAGTACTCCTCCGATGGAAATGTTGCCCGTATCTTGACAACAGCACATGCAGGGATCACCTTTCGATTCCTTTTCCCAAGGCGATGCCATATCCACCGAGTAAATCGCCTGTAGGCGATGTATCTGTATAGTCTGAGGACGATAAAATGCACAACTATTACACACTGATTTTATGTGTTCTAAAAGACAATGTGTTACAAAAGACAATAACTTGACAGCAGTTGTGGTATTGAGAAGACAATTTGTAAATGCCATATGATATATATATATGTACATAACAATAGAGTTAGCAGTTGGCTGCTGAATGAGAACTTTGAGTTTGATATTTTTGTGTTAAATTGACTTGTATGACCCTACTTACTCATTAATTGGCTCATTGTCATCAATAGGCCCATCATGCTCGACAAACTCTAAAAGTGAGACTTCCAAGACATCTCTATTTAAGCAGTTTGCAATGAAACCCTCATGATTTGTGATACACATGATTCCTTTTTCCTCAGTCTTTGTGCAGATCAAGTCAATTTCCTGGCAACACAGGCATTCTGTCTCTGTTGTCATGGCTGTGCAGCATTCACAATCACACCTGGAATTCAAAGTACTAGATCTATATATGATTTGTATATAATTTGAATTTTATATTACATATGCTGACAACATAATTTGTGCAATATGCCTGACCTGATGTTCACATAAAATTCAAGTAAATAAGAAACAGATATATTCTGCTTTGGCCTTTATTATCTATATATATTGATTTATAATTGCAATTCTATCTGTCTGTTGTAAAGCTTCAATTTTTGATTGCCCTCTGAGTATTTTCCACATAAATTAGAGGAAGACCTGTGTCTGGTTACAGGAAATACACAGATTTTGTTTTGGTCTTAGCCACAATAATCCATCATATTATTTGATCATTTGAATTTTAGTGGCATCAACAAGTTTTGAGCTTTTTGTTGTCCTCATGATTTAGTTATTGTTTTGGGGTAAAGGAATGCATATAGGCTTATCCATTCCAACAGAGATTGGAGATAAGCTCACAAGTTTGCAAATTTATGAAAAAAATACAATCCTGAAATCCTGTTTTGTTGTTGTGTAATCATTATAACCAAGTATTTAGGTGAAGATCTGTACCAAGATATTAAGAGGATTATTCATACAATCTTACAGAAAGAAGTTTGCCAAAGGTGTGAAAATGTAAAAGCTTGGTAGGGTTAGGGACTGGTGTCTTATTACTTTAGAAATAGTAACAAAGAACAGGTATCATTTTGTGAAAATAGAGTAATTGTTGCATTGATTAACAGCACAATATTGAATTTTTAAAAAATATCACCGGTTTAAAATTGTAAAGGAAAGACTGCATTTTTTTTTATCATATATACTCGGGACTTTTTATTCATTGAAGATTCCCCAGCTGAAAGATTTACAAGATGCAGCAAATAAAGAGATGAAAAAAAAATCCTATAGGATTTTATTTATTGAATTATATTTTTGTGATAATAGGAACAAAACATTCAACCAAATAGTAACGTTTAGGTAAATTAATTATTTGAAAAAAATTCCTTTGCAATTAAAAAAAAAATACCCTCCAGGAATGGGTTATTTTAGCCTAAATATATATACAAGTATAAAAGAAATAATTTCGCAATCTATTGTATTTCAGTGATGACGTACGAAAAATGAAAACAAAACATACACATAAATTTACTTTTATCTAGCTTTGAATCTGATTCCGCGAAAAGACGTTATAAATATGTGATTATGTATGCACATATGAAGTATTTTCCTGTGAACATTTATTTCTTTTCTTTGTTATAAACAAAATACATTTAAAATCGGTAATCCTCAATCGGCTTATGAAAGATGTTGAACGTTTCCGCGTTTAGGCCTAGGGAGGGGCAGGGAGAATGGGAATCAAGAGAAAAACTTTTGCTGTTTTGGCAATCATTTCGACATAAATCGGAAGTTTGCGATTTCTTCAACAAAACATGTACTCGTAGTTATATTTTATTTCTCAATTTCTTGAGGTGACATACCATGCGATGTTGTCTGTGCGGATGTCTCGTGCCCTGGCATGGTCGTCCCCGTCATCAGACTCGTCTGTCTCTGATTGTGACGAATACATTTCTTCTGTAACTCGATCTACGTGTTTTCTCGCGGGTTCAAATTGGTAGGGTAAAATATCAAGCTCACCCCCAACTTCAGGAACATCGCTATCGGTATCTGACATGGTGTTTGTTGATAAATTTACGAGGTTTTCAGTAGATATCGAAGTGAGCCAAGGTCAAGTACGCGAGAGGCTAAGGATAGCTTGGGGAAACCCTCGTCCTATTATGACGTCACGCGATCACGTGACCAGCGAGCTCATTAACTCCAGCTTGGTGTTCTCCGCGCTACAACATCAGCCCATAAACGAAACAATTATACATTATCGGAATGTTGAATTACATTCCCGTAAAAAAAGGTTATTTAAATGAGTTTAAAGATTATTTTGACACATTTTTGACCACTGTTGCACAAATCCTTTAACTCATTAACCACTGGGGACACATTTAAACTCTTCCAATTCAAAGGTTGGAATAGTTCATTAAGAAATTTCAGGGGTGAATGAGTTTAACTAAAACCTTTAGAAATCAAATATAGGAAACATCAAATGGACACAGATTGCTGATTACAGTTAATTTTTTTCAAGGGTATTCTCTTCACTCCCAGTTCACTATCTATTAAACATAGTTAGGGTGGTCGGGTGGTGCAGCGTACTTGCCTTTCACCAAGGTGGCTGGGTTTGATTCCACGATGGGACGTGAAAGGTATGGGGTCATCTGTCCGACAATATGGGTTTTCTCCGAGTACCCCAGTTTTCTCCCACAATAAGACACCCCTCCCTCCCC